TCTTTGTGGACTATGTTATGACAATTGACTCTAGTGTCCCTTGAGTTGAGGAAATTTTTTTTTTTAAGAATATTTTATGACACATAAAAATGAAATTTCATTACCCATAAAATTGTACTAGAACACAGCCACATCCATTATTTACATATTGTTATGGGTACTTTAAAGCTATGTCAGAGTTAAGTATCTGACAAAGAGACCATATGGTCTACAAAACCTAAAACATCTGGCCCTTTATAGAAAATATTTGCTAACTCCTGCCTTACTCTCTCCCAGAACAGTCATTTGCACTCAGGTGTAAATGACTGATAACAGCATAAAGGGCTTACTCCCCTTTACCCTTCAGAGAGTACTTTGGATCAATAAAGAAAAAACTTTATGATGGAGCTAGAACCTGAGAGTTAGTGTGGGGGGATTTCTAGCAGCTGGCAGGGGTTGGAGGAAGATGTTTTAGAGCAGGGAATTTCCCCTCTGAAGTCATCCTCTCCCACTGCCAGCTGTCAGAGGTTCTCAGCAGGTGGTATCCATGTTACAGATGGAATGAGGAATTTTCATCACAATTATACATAAATATTTGCTCCTAGATATTTCTACCTACGTGTTTTATTGCTGCTAATAGAACCATGAGAGTAGAGCATATAGGAGGCAAAGTTGTGAAAACTTCCTAGCCATAACAAAAAACCTTCAAGGACTGAGGCACTGGGCCTAGCGGCTTAGAACCAATCTTGGGGGACATCTAGGCCACTTGGCCTAACATAGTCCACAAAGATAATATTCTACATCCTACTGTGGTGAGTACTGACTGGGGTCTTAAAAGCTTGCAAGCAACTATTGGTCTCTCCTTGTTCAGAGCAAAGAAGAGTGAAAAAAATATCAGACTCAAGGAAACACTTAGTCCAAAGGCCTAATGGACCACAGGAACCACAGCCTCCATGACCCTGAGACCAGAAAAACTAGATGGTACCTGGTTACCACTGCTGACTACTCTAATCACAATGGAAGGTCCTGGATAAAGTGGGAGAAAATATAGAGCAAAATTCAAAACAATAAACATAGACCACACTTACAGGTCTGATAGAGACTGATGAAACCCCAAGTCTATGGCCCTGAGACACCCTTCAAGTGTGGAACTGAACCCACTCCCAGAGATCACCTTGCAGCCAAACGGTGTTGTTGTTGTTATGTGCCGTGGACTCAGACCTGACTCAGACAGGCCGATAAAGTGAACAGTAACACCTGTGAAGAACAAGCTTCTCAAAACAATCAACCATATGAGACCAAGAGGGCAGAATTTGCCCAGAAGCAAAGTTCAGAAGACTGAGAAGAGCAGGGAATAAGGAAGAATGGAAACAGGGAACCCATGGAGGAAGTGGGAAGAGTGCTGTTACACTGAAGGGATTGCAACCAGTATCACAAAGCAAAGTGTGTATTGATTGTTAAATGGGAAATTAATTTTCTCTGTAAACTTTCACCCAGTCCACGATAAAATGTTCAAAAAAATGTGGAATTTGAAGCATGGTAGAGATGACTCACTGTGACTGGGTGGTACTCCCCTAAAATGCCTCCCACATCCTTACCTGCCTCAGGAAGAAAAGCTGAGTGGCAAAAAGCTGAGTGTTAGCAGTTTCTGCAAGAGTGATTTCTTGGGGACTGTAAACTTGGCAGCTTGATAGAAACTTATTATCCTTGGGCTTCGTAATAAAAATAGAAGCAACCTTCTTAACCTCACAGGACTATTACAAATCCCAGCTGCTGGTGGAATTATACCTTTTGATTGCAAATTAGAATTTGTTTTTACCATATAACTTGTTTATTTGAAAATGACAGAAACCCAACTAAAACTTGCTTATACAAAAAGAGAATTTACTGGCTTATGTAACCAGAAAGACCTGAGGTGGGCTACCTTCAGGCAGAGCTTGATCCAGGGGCTCAAAGGAATAATATCTTTCCCACTCCAACCCTCAGCTCTGCTTCACTCAGGTGAACTTCATCCTTGAACAGGCTTTCCTCATGTGGTGGCCCTATGGCCCACAGCTCTGACTGGCATCTTAGCTAGTAATACCAGCAGAAATAGAGCAATTCTTCCCAATTGTTACAGCAAACATTGCAGGGCCATTGCCCATTGGTTCTGAGTAGCTTGGCTTAGGTCATATGCCCACTGCTGACCACTGCAAGAATCTCTGTAGTCATATAGCCAGGCCAGGCCATGAGCCTTTATCAAAGTACAGGAACGGAGAGTGGGGTAAGGGTACCTCCCCAAAGGAAAATTGGGAGGGGGCTGTCACTAGACTAGCAAAGGAGGAGATGGAGAGTGGCAGGCAAAAGCAGTGATCCATTACTCAACTATAAATTGTAATATCCTCAAAACATACATAAATAATAATATGTTGTTGTTCAAAAATGGCCAGAATTACTGGTTGGATAGAGACAGGTGGAACCCCCAGGACTGTGGCCCCAGGTTATCCTTCAGGCCTAGAAATGGACTTACTTCTGTTGATTGGCTCTAAACTCAACAGTAGAAAGCCCTACTACATGCAGAACACCTACCCCAGGGAGATCCACCCACCTGCCCTAGGGAGATGCACCCCTTAGATCAATCAACCATGAGACATCTGAGGAGTAGCATTCACATAGAGGAAAAGCTGGACAGATAGGAATCGCATAGATAAGAAGGGCACAGGGATGGGGTAGTCACAGGGAGGAGAGGGGAGGAGAGTTTTTTATGGTTGGGGATTGTTATCAGGGCTGTGAAATCAAATGTGCATGAACTGTTGGATGTAAACAAATCTGCTTTGTAAATTTGCACTCAGAGCACAAA